ATCTCAGACATAACAAAGTTCATTAAAAAGTATGTAAGCATTTCAGTGTCTATGTTTCTTAAAGCTTTTTCTCCTACATCACCCCCCAACCCTCATGGAGACAGTCTAAAGTTTCTGATAGTATCAGTTTCTTCAGTAAAAAACAAAAGACCTTTCTTTTGGTGCTGGGGATTGAATCCAGGGGTGCCTGAGCAACAACCCCAGCCCTGTTTAGTTTTTATTTTGAGACCAGTCTCAGATAAGTTGCTGAGGCTGGTCTCAAACTTGTGATCCTCCTGCCTCAGCCTCCTGGGCTGCTGGGATTACAAGAGTATGCTAATGTGCCTGGCTAGAAACAAAAGATTTAATATTAAATTTCCTGCCAGTGGTTCTGTCACAGTCTACATAAAAATTAATTAATGGCAATTGCATCTCATATTTTATCTGTACCTTTAGGAAAAAAAAATACAGAAATCAATTCTCATCATCTCAGACTCTTGAAAGCATTTGGCCTTGTTCACCACCCCTTGCTCTTCCAGGTATCACACTGTGGGCTAACTCTTGACCTCTAGGTCCCCTGTTGGCTGCCTCCATCTCCAAGGCTCTTCTTGACTGATGGTTCTCTTGAACCCATGCTCTTCCTAACTGATGCACATACTGACATGACTCTGGGCTCTGTGTGCTCTTTATTAGGCACTTTACAGGTAACCTCCAGCCCTGTAGTCCTAACTACCGCCCATTTGCTGATGACAACCACATTTCTATCTGGGAGCCTGGATTCTTAAACAAACTTTAACATTCACATACCAAATGTCCTACTCACYGAACCTCTTGGACCTCACAGGCCTATCAAAATGAGTGTGGCTGAAAACAGAAGTCTTTCTTCACCATTYCTCTACCTCATTCCTGCCCTGAGAATCTCAGGCAAATGTGAACATTCATCTCYRGCAGCTTCTGGCTTCCAYCTTCGCTRCTCAGGAAATTCCTCAYCTCCCTTACCTGGGCTCTGGCCACATTMATCCAATATCATCTCTCTACTAGTTAAGCTTCCTGTTTCAGGAGCAGATGCTGGACTTGCCGATCTTTTGACATCAMTTAATACCCAAAGCCTCCTGCTTCCTATAGTTCTGCTCCCTACTTTCATGACTGTAAGGAGAACTGTGGGGAGGTGGCACCCTGATGCTCATCCTTGATCATGACCTAGTTGTCCTTTCTGCTCAGTACACAATACCTCGTGATGAGACATTGATMATAGCAGCTTTCACACCAGGGCTGGACTTGAAGGAAGGTCAACAGCACAGTCAGATCCTGACCAAGTCAGGAAAATATAATTAATCTTACTACATGTTTTCATTACCAAACAATAAATAAAACAACTATTCTTATCATATATTTAGAATTTCATCCATCTCCTGATCTCTACAGAGATGGCATAAAGATGGTAAAAACATCATGATAAAAAAACTCATGATCAAAACTGTCACCCCAAAAGACAGCATTCTTATAAGGCAAGATAGTAAATAAATATATGAGTTTCATAAAACTAGTTAGGAAAAACTACCTTTTGATAAAATTTCAAAAATTCAAAATGTAGGAGAATTAAAAAAAGCACAAACCTTTTAAATAAAACAGACCTGCCCTGAAATCATCATTGCCAATTGTTAGAGATCAGCTGTGATTTTAAAAGTACTACATATTTTGTAAAATGAAACTAAACATAGGTGGTGACTCTAGGCAAATACACTAGGAGGCAGTAAAAAGAATGTTGGGCTCTAGCTAAGAAATAAGGTGGAAATCTGCCTTTTAGTGGTTGATAAACAGTCTAGAAGTAATTGTTTTCTTTTTTAAAGTTTTTGATTAATTAATTAATTATAATTAGGTATATATGACAGCAGAATACATTTTGATCCACTGTACATAATTGTAGCACAACTTTTCATTTTTCTGGTTGTACATGATGTAGCATTGTACCATGTGTGCAGTCATACCCATACCTAGGGTAATGATGTCCATCTCATTCCACCATTTTTCCTGTTCCCATGTCCCCTTCCCACCCACACTACCTTTTGCCCCATCAAAGTTCCTCTATTTTTCCCATGCTCCCCACCGATTATGGATCAGCATTCACTTATCAGAGAGAGCATTCAGGCTTTGGTTTTTGGGAACTGACTTAATTCACTTAGCATGATATTCTCCGGCTTCATCCATTTACCAGAAAATGTCATAATTTTATTCTGTTTTAAGGCTGAGTAATATTCCATTGTGTATGTGTACCACAGTTTCTTTATCTATTCATCTATTGAAGGGCATCTAAGTTGCCTCCACAGTTTAGCTAGTGTGAATTGAGCTGCTATAAACATTGATGTGTCTGTGTTACTATAGTATGCTGATTTTAAGTCCTTTGGTATAGACTGAGGAGTGGAATAGCTGGGTCAAATGGTGGTTCCATTCCAAGTTTTCTAAGGAATCTCCATACTGCTTTTCAGACTTGTTACACCAATTTGCAGTCCCACTAGCAATGTATGAGTGTGCCTTTCCCCCCACATCCTCGCCAATATTTATTGTTGTCTGTATTCTTGATATCTGCTGTTCTGACTGGCATGAGATGAAATCGTAGAGTAATTTTGATTTGTATTTCTCTAATTACTAGGTATAAGAGAGCAAATTCACATATAAATTCAGGCAATCATTGATCACACAAACAAAGAAATAAGGGAGCAAATACAGGTAGCAAAAGATTGCTTCAAGAAATAGAGATTCTGAAATAAAATCCAATCAGAAATCTTTGAAATGAAGGAAACAATAAACCAAACAAAAAACTCAGTAGAAAGCATCACCAACAGACTAGGTCACTTGGAAGACAGAAGGTCAGATAATGAAGACAAAGYATACAATTTAGAAAACAAAGTTGATAACACGGTGAAGATGGCTAAGAAACAGAACATGCAAAAATTATGGGATAGCATCAAAMGACTAAATGTAAGAATTATTGGGATAAAGGAAAGCACAGAGATTCAAACTAATGGAATGCACAATCTCTTTAATAAAATAATATCAGAAAATTTCCCAAACATTGGGCTGGAACTGTGGCTCAGTGGCAGAAAACTTGCCTAGCATGTGTAAGGCACTGGGTTCAATTCTTAGCACTGCATACAAAAATAAATAAAAGAAAGAAAGACATGCTGTCCACCTACAACTACAAAAAAAAGAAAAAAAAAAAGAAAAAAAAAGAAAATTTCCCAACCATGAAGAATGAATTGGAAAATCAAATACCAGAGGCTTATAGGACACAGAATGTACAAAATTACAACAGATCTACACCAAGTCACATTATAATGAAAATGCCTAGCATACAAATTAAGGATAGAATGTTAAAGGCTACAAGAAAGAGGAATCAGATCACACATAGAGGGAGACAGACCAATTTATATCTCAGCAGATTTTTCAACCTAGACCCTCGAAGCCAGGAGATCCTGGAACAACATAAACCAACCTCTGAAAGAAAACGGATGCCAACCAAGAATATCCAGCACAATTAAGCTTCAGATTTGATGATGAAATAAAAACCTTTCATGATTTGTTTTCTTAATGTAAACACACTCTAAGTGACTTTTCATCCTTCTGATTACAGCCAGATGGAGGAAAAGATTCTGGAATTGTGGGATTTGCTATTTGAGAAATAAGCACATGCAAAAATAAGAACACTAAGGCATTCCAGTCATTTACCCTAAAGATAAATAAGCTGCTTTGGCTGGRGGTAGAGGGTATTTACCAYCAGGATGCTGCCTAGAAGGCTACAYGGTATAGAGCYTRCTTTAAACTACTGTTGTTATTGTTTCTGCAAAATGATGCTTAGCTGCAATTCTCAGGTATAGCAAAATAGACACCACAATCCAAAGTGAGGAGTGAAATGAAGWCTTACAAATTCACAAATATATACATACAGTCCTGCATAGCACCACAATGGTCAACAATGAACCATTATACACCAGTAGTCCCATAAGATTGTATATCCTGCTAACAGTAACCTCATAAYCATGAGTGCATTGTACGATTTTCCCAGGACAGCTAAACTGGCTAACAGTGCACAACCCAGAAAGCACCCTTGCTGTTGAGGAACACACGGCTRTATTTAAATCCATTACCCTTACAGAGGTATACAACATCTAGAGATTTATTTGGATACRTTGTTGGCATGTTGTGACTCTCACATACCCTTCTCTACAGGGAAGGGTGTGTGTGTGCAGGCTTCTCAGAGAAAAGGGCTTTCATGGAACCACTCAGAGAGCTTTGCATGGGCTCTTACAGCTTTAGGTTGAGATTGTATSTGCATCGTACATGAGAAATCTAATGGTAAGAGGATAGCTAACGAGATCTGCAGCCTAGGATGGACAGGAAATTTAGGAAGAAACTGCTCTACCCAAATCAGGTGGGGCAGAAGACAACTGAGTATTCTCCCAGGGACTTGATGAGTGTCAGGAAGAGAGGGGAAGACTGGGCTCATTAGATCTCTCCAAAGACCAGCACAGGCCATGAGATGGCGTTTTAGAACTTCTGTTTGATGGTTATGGGAAACAGGGAATTTTATTTCCTGAATGTGAAGGAGTCTTCTTAGACTCTGTATTTTCAATGTGAAATCGACAGAAAGAGGAAAATAAAGCAGGAAGACCAGCAGGAAAATGGAGCATGAAATCCACCCCGATCTGGACTTTTTGGTTATGTTAGCCAATTGACCATGGCACTGCCAAGCTACTTTGACGAAGTTTTCTGGTGACACTTCATTTTTTAATTCTTTTCAAATGATCTGGGAGAAAAAATCTRCATTTTAAACTTGTCCTATGCTACAATGGTCCAAAATCAAGCAAATGCAAAAGAGTCCAGATAACAACTTCAGMAGGTTCTTCTTAGGGTGAACTCTATCCCTGGAGAAGATGTGGCCACTAAATCAAAATGAGACACAAATTGAAAATGGACTTCTTTGGCTGGAAGGTAAGAAACAAGGACAGTCAATCATGTGTTACCTGGTAATGAACTCTCTGGGAATCAGAAGAAACTGACTGCAAGTCCTAATGAGAAAGTGGGAGAAAAAAAAATCCATACCTTAAAATTAGTTTGAACAAGCTGCCCCATAATTCTATCAACTGAAACTCCCAATTTAATGTGAAAATGCTCATCTGGAAAGCATCTAGCCCACTCGTATTCATGAAAGTTAAACAAGGAAGGCAATGCCAGAAATAATAAAAACATACCAACTTGGATAGAGAGAAAACAGGTCATTTGTCTACTGAAACTTATAATTGCTAATGTTTAGAGTTAAGCAACATATTATAATTTCAAGGATAGAGAAGACCACAGTAAAGAASAGGCAAACTTATTGTAATAAATGGGGATCATGTTTCATTAGCATTTGAATTTTTTGGTTTTAAAAGAAATCTTCTGAGGCTGGGCATATAGCTCTGTGGGAGAGCACTTGCCTAGCATGGCAGAGGCCTTGGGTTCAATGCCCAGTCTCTCTGTCTCTGTGTCTCTGTGTCTCTCTCTCCTTCCCTGCCTCCATGCACCCTCCATGCATCCATCCTCTCTCTCTCTCCTCTCTCTCTCTCTCTCTCTCACGCATGCACACACACACACACACACACACACACACACACACAGAGAGGAAAGAGAGAGAGAGAGAGAGAGAGAGAGAGAAGGCTCTTCTGGAGTCCCTTTATACACAAAGAATTTCTTTCTCTTACATTAAATACATGATGGTAGCTGTGTATATATTGATAAGTTGCCTTTTGTAAACCTCAAAGAGAAAATCACTGACCACCTTCACATTATCACAGAGAGAATATTAGCAGGGTTGCAATGGAGATTTTACTGGCAAATTCTGAAAGCCTGCTTCCCTGCATCAAATTTTATAACTAAATTGTCACCACTACCATATCCCCCAGGCTCAGACGTCAGCATCCTGGGTCCCTTTGTCCCTATGTCCGATTCCCAAAAGGCTTCATCATCTTACCTCACACACAAACTTCTGTGCCCAAGTTTGTTTCAAAACCACTCCTCTTTATCTCTTGAGCTTACTTCCTTTTTATTTAGAATTCCCTATTAGTTGAATATTGACATGCTTATCACACCAATAAGCTAGTTTTCAACAAAGTCAATTTATTAATCATGTGCTTTCCTACTGTGAAATCTTGTTAACAAAATTACTAGAGTGCTAAATATTAAAGAAGAAGAAGAAAAAAAAGTTTGGTACCAATTATGATTCAGTTTTTAAGATTCAATTTTTTATGCAATGTCAAGTGACATGACATTTGTCGAATGAAATACTATATCTAGGTTTGAGGAATACAGACTCTGACTTGAGCAACCTGCTAAAAAGTTCAAAAATTTGAACTTATTTAAGTCAATCAAATTATCTACAGGAAGCTACAAGTATAAAATTTGTCCACACCTTTTATCTTAAGCATATCAGTATTAAAAATTAGACAATTATCTCTAAAAAATTTTCATTCATAATTCCATCTCAATTCTTAGCAGTGATAACGAAAAAAATTACTTTTTACATCAATGTATTCCTCTTATCTAAACTTATTTCTTCCAAGAGAAATAAAATCTAATGTTCATCGTTAAGTGCTTTCAACTTAAAGATATTTTAAACACTGTATATCTGCTTTCTGACATTTATATGTTTGTAGTGTGTTATGTTGGACAGAGTTGTTCATCTAGGAGTATCCATCAGAATCATGCAACAGCTAAGAATACAAATCTCTTAGCCCCACCTGAGAAAGTGACTCTAATGAGTATCTTTTACCAAGAAACAATGATAAAGAAATGGCGGTTTATATTTCTGCTTTTTGCAGAATGGAGACAGTTTACACACTCCTCCTCAAAAGTTTTTAAGAACAACCAGGAAAAATTATAATGATAAGTGTGGGTGTCRTGCTATTCAAATAAATGGGACTGTCATATAGAAAATCTTTTTCTTTCTGTTTCTCCGTGGCAAGACCAGATTGAGGGAGAAAAATTATAATAATACATAGATTATTCCTTTGTGCTTTGACAAAACTTCATGAATTATACAAGGTTTTTCTTTCCTGCAGAAGTTTTATTTTTTAAATCACAGTCCCTGACAAAAGTCTATATTAGATACAAAACATTAAATAACCCCAAATCTGTTTTTTTTATTACTTATCAGTGCCATCTGAAATCCTTTAAAGCTAAAAAATACAGGTATGTAGCTTGGCAAGAAGACAGAAGTTCCAAGCTACAAGCTGTGGAATGCACTAGAGAAACAGGACCCTGAGGCACCTGACCRATCCTTTCCCATTTTAACCACCAGAGGAGGGAGACAGCCATGGGGTAGGGAGGAAGACACTTAGTATAAACTTAAGGGACAAGGCTACCACATTCCCAGTTCCTCCCCAAATGTGCCACTTAAGAAGCACTGGTAATCAGTTATGAAAATGGAAAGCTAAGGAGAATAAATAATTGGCTAAATAAACTCACCTCCTGTAGGCGGTCTATGTACATACGGCAAGTCTCCAGATCACAGTCTCCACGCACAACTAGAATACCCAGAGGAATGGCTGAGAGTGAAGGAAAAAGAAAAATCTAAAATAACATATTTGATTTTTCTAGATTGGCACACATGTGTTTCTCATGGTTAAAAAATAATCTCATAAATATTATGGGATTTTTGGATATTTCCATACAGAGAAATAATCACCCTGTCCCTATACCTCTCTTTTGATTTTGGACTCTTTTTGCCTGCAGTTGTCATACACTGTCCTTGAATGATCCGTGTTGTCCCTTGCCTTCATCTGGCATTCATCTCAATTTATCTCAGTGGCTCTGGTTTGAAGTGTAATACCACAGTATCAATGGATGGACTGGCAGAACAGAGGCTGCTCACAGATAGCTGATAACATATGCCTGAATTTGCAATAGGCAGCCTGAGGACAGCRCTCAAGAGGAATTCATGATTCTGGACACTTACCCTTTCCCCTCCTGAATGCACATGGTTTAAAGTTTTTGTTGGTTTACAACAGTTTTCTAACTATGAGCCTTAAGCCATTCAAGGTATTGTTGCTACCTGGTGGCCAACAACAGAAATAAAGATATAAAAAAGAAGGAGTAAGAGGAGCAAGAAAAGGAAAAGAAGAAGAAAGTTCTTAGAAGGTGCTCGGCTTAAAACCCAACCAAGTTTAAAAGAGGCTTAGGGTAAGTGAGGTAATAGCTGGACCTCAGGGAACAATAAGGAGAAGCCAAATTATGCCCCTTTTAACATACCCTATTTAGGTAGTGGCACACAACACACAGTGGCTTCCATTTCTGAAGTAGAAATTTCCAAGTAGAAATTTCTACTTCCRATATAAATCTAACACTCCTGAAATACTGAAATCTGGTCTCCTTCCTACAGCTAAAAAACATGTGTTTATTTCTTACTTTAATAATGCAGTTATGCCAGGCGTGGTGGCACAAGTCTATCATTCCCACTGACTCTGGAGGTTGAGACAGGAAGAATGCAAGTTCAAGGCCAGGTTCACCAACTTAGCAGGCCCTAAACAACTTAGCAAAACCCTGTYGCAAAATAAAAAATAAAAAAGGCTAGGAATGTGGCTCAGTGGTTAAACACCTCTGAATTCAATTCCCAGTAAAATTAAATGACATTTAATTTCAAAAGTGCAGTTACACTATTAAAATCCATGATATAACAAAAAATTCAAAATATCGAATTATCCAATTTGACACTAGCAACCAGATGATATAAAAGTAGTATTCACTAAGAGTTTTTAAAAACCTTTCATGGATTGAATTTATTTTAAAATCCTCATCATCAATAAATGGGTTTGAAAATACAAAAGGCTAGGGTTTTTAAAATGCACAGAATAAGATATAATTAAAAGTGCATGAAAACAGCTTGAGGAAATCCTGAAGTAGTAAAGAGGCCATACACTTAATCAAATAGTAACAAATACAACATAGGTCATATTAAATGTATGAACTTAATCACTTGAAAACTATAGAGCAGAGGGACTAATTCTCACAAGGCACAGATTTGGAGCTCACTGAAGGATAGGGAGCCCCATTTGATCTTTCGGCTAGAGAAGCAAGGGTGTTCTAGAGAAAAAGAAACAGTTTCATGCTCAACATACCTATAGATTAGTTTCCACCAAGGAAACCAAATCAATTCCACTACCCCACTCCTTTAAGTTCCTGAAGTCCTGCATACATAAATCTTTAAAACATCTACCACTTCGTTGACCTATGGAAGCCTGYGAGTATGGATTCTCTCACATCAAGGATAAAGCCTATTTGCCTTCGATTCTTCATTGCTTAGTAGAGAAATGGCAGATATTCAATAAATGCTTGTTAAAAGAAGAAGAWAGACAGACTTAGGGCCTGCCCAAAGGTGAAAGAGAAAGTGGGCCTTTGCAGAGCAAGCTGATTTTCCAGGGAAGGGCACTTCTCCTAGAAACAGAAGTAGAGGATGTGCATCGGGCAGGAGCTTGCTTTTGCCTACTCTTCGAGAAGCCAAGCAAGAGAGTTATTGAGCAGAAGGTATGGAATCCTCAAAGCRCCATACATTTGAGGGAATAATAATCTGGAAGAATATATTTCCCTTTTTTGAAGATAAACAGAAGCCTCAAAAAGTTTTAGGATGAACCATGCATGTTGAAAGACAATGGAATGTAAATCCAATAAGGGATCCCTTAAAACTACTGATTCATCAAGCCCAGTTATACTATTAAGTAGAATGAAATCAGGTGATTCACTAAGGTTAAAGTAAAATAAGGATTTATAATACTTAAAGAATAATATTGAAAAGCTAGAATTTTGGCTTAACTGGCAATCCAAAGGTTGTGGAAAATAAATATATATATCAATAACTTACATGACAGTATACATTGGAATCTTGTTGAATGATACTTTCTCTTAATTTTAGTTGAAAAATGTAGAAGAATGGATTTTAATTGATACTTACCTATTAAATTGGGGAATTCATTTTCTAGAAATGCAGCAATAATCCTATCAAAACTTCTGATATCCTTCTATTACTAGTACTTACATTCATCTCATCCAAATATAAATTTAATGTACCCAGTTGCAGATATTTTTGTTTGTTTTTGAATATATCTATCATGTATTTCTTTCTTTMTTTATTTATATATGGCAGCAGAATGCATTACAAATCTTACTACATATATAGAGCACAATTTTTCATATCTCTGGTTGTATACATAGTATATTGACACCAATTTGTGTCTTCATACCTATACTTTGGATAATAATGATTATCATATTCCACCATCATTAACTACCCCATACCCCCTTCATTCCCCTCCAACCCTTTGCTCTATCTAGAGTTTGTCGATTCCTCCCATGCTCCCACTCCCTATCCCACTATAAATCAGCCTCCTTATATCAACAAAAATATTCAGCATTTGGTTTTTGGGATTGGCTAACTTCACTTAGCATTATCTACTCTAACTCCATCCATTTACCTGCAAAGCCATGATTTTATCTCTTTTATTGATGAGTAATATTCCATTGTATATATATGCCACATTTTTTTATCCATTCATCTATTGAAGGGCATCTAGGTTGGTTCCACAGTTTAGCTATTGTAAATTGTGCATCTATAAATATTGATATGGCTGTGTCCCTGTAGTATGCTGTTTTTAAGTCCTTTGGGTATAGACTGAGGAGAGGGATAGCTGGGTTAAATGGCGGTTCCATTCGCAATTTTCCAAGAAATCTCCATACTGCTTTCCATATTGGCTGCAACAATTTGTAGTCTCTCCAGCAGTATATGAGTTTTACCCCACATCCTCTCCAACACTTGTTGCTGTTTTTATGGGTAATAGCTGCCATTCTGACTGGAGTGAGATGAAATCTTAAAGTGGTTTTGATTTGCATTTCTCTAATCAACAAATACATGAAAAAATGTTCATCATCAAATATTTTAAACTACAATTAGAGACTGGATATTCAAGATCTGGAATCAAAAAGAAATAGCAAGAAAGAAGTTTTAAGAGATGTTTCATTCACTTCTACCATATGTATAAAATTAACTACTTTGTCTAGTCCTCAAGTAGCTAATAAGTAAAAGTAACTGTTTTGGACTAAATGATACTTATCTGTAATTGGATTTTTTAAAAGCCACTTGTATCACAAATTCCTAACATGATGACCATCAACTGGGAAATTTATGCTAAGAGGACAGCAGCAGGCAGTAGAAAGGATTCATCATCTTTCTCTTCTTGATTTAAACCCCAGCCCTGCTTTGGTCTTGAACATTCATTGCTCAAATTAGCTCTTTGTTCTTGCAAGTTACTCAATTCTTCTGAGCCCTGGTTTGAAGACTATGGTATTTAGAATAGGTATCTGGCAGGATTTTATGAAGCTTGACTCCACACTACACTTAAAATAGAATTAACAAAACACCAATACTAATTCTCCTCCACTCCCTTCACTATCTTTTGGGCATGTTTTATTATAAATTGGATATACCCAAGCATTGATATTTTAATATATCATAATGAGATGAGGACCTGTGAATAGTAATTCCATAAATTATACTCATATTTACTTAAAAGTAATTTCTACTTTCTTCAATGGGAAAGTATTTTTGTAACACAAAACTACTGTAATCTGGCTCTTCCATTTGGAACATTGTATGGTAAAGAGAAAGCAGAAACTTGTGAAAAACACCACCTCCAGTTGATAKTATGGATAACCAAATGCCAAATTTTGAAGCATTTTCTTCAATTTTAATTAAGAGTAGTGAGAGTGCTTAGGACCTGATCATGGTGTTACCACCCTGGTCTCCACAACTCATCTTAGTGTGGTGTTGGAGACTCTGGCTCCAATAAGCATCAGCCAGTTCTCAGCTTACACAATGGAACAGGGATCAAATGCAATGCACAGGTTCTAACTAAGCAAAACAAACAAAAAACCCAACCTGGTTTCTAGAGTAAAACCATATTTAACACATACATTTCCCTCTCACTAGAAATCCTACTGAACTACAATAAAGGAATTTTAAAAGGATATAAACCAATAAAAATGAACAGGAATGGTAAAGAGAAAATAGAAACAGATGAAGCAGAAGAAAAACTGGTGACTGACCCAGAGTCCTACAGAGTCCAGTCCTAAACCACAGGTGGAGATGGATGAGAATAATCACAATTTATACTTCAAAACCCTCAAAAACCTTGCAAACTGGCAGCACCAGGTCCATCAGGAGCTAAAGTTAAATAGGACAGCTAAAATAGGAGCACGGGATGGGGCAAGACTCCATCCCCACCACCCATCCAGATGACAGATATATTGGGTTACCAAATAATTGGAGCACTGTGATTCCAGATACAGATGCAGAAAGCAGTCACCATTAAGATTCTCATAGCCTTTAAATGACTATTTTCCAAGCAAAGTCAGAATGCCTAGGAAAACCTGAACCAGTTTTCAGTTGTGTGTGTGTGTGTGTGTGTGTGTGTGTGTGTGTGTAAATACATGAAATGCTCTTCCTTAACCTATTGTCAAGAGCAAGAGGTAGATCACAGAAAAGCAGACATATTCAATG